CCTGCTGATGGCAGGGGAGTTGGAACTAGATGATCTTTAAGGTCCCTTCCAATCCAAACCATTCTATGATTCTATGAAGAGGGTTACAAAATGCTGACTCGGTCTCAAAAGGTTTGAGATAATAGCTGGCTTAGATAATTCTAAGACCATCATACTTGTTCAGAAGTATCCCAAAACAAGAAGAGACAGGCACCTCTTTAAGAAGTTAAATCATTTAACCTTGCCAAACAGCTTTTGCTACTTATTCCAAAACTTAAAACGACATAGACACTAAGTAGCAAAACCTGCTCTTCATAATGAACATCGTATTACTGTATTCAAACAAAGGAAGACACATTCTGATACCTGAGAACAGCATCATCAAGCTCCTGTGGCCTGTTTGTTGCTCCCATCACAAGTATTCTGTCCTCTCCAGAAGACTGCACCTATATAAAGTAGGAAAGCAAGACAGCTTTCAGTTTACAACAAGTAGTAATACAACAAAAACAGTTACAGACTTGCCACATATTCAGCACACTGATGGGATCTTCAGGTATATGCCTTTTTTTTTTTTTTTTTTTTTTTCAAATGCAGTTAGCTTCAAAACACTCTTTAGATAAATGTAAAGTCAAACTAGGAAAATGTAAAAAGAAAAAAAAAATAAGGAATGTAAACACAGGACACTATGCCCAAGTAACGTTGTTTGAAAAGAGTCTTTCAAGAGCACAAGTGTTGCTGTGGAATTGCATGTTACAATGCTGGAGAAAACTGAGACTACAAAAGCACTTAGAAGTTTAGTCATCCAAAGATAATGAAGTTTAAAAAGTTAGAGACTTTCTGCTGTTGAGGGTTTTAACAACAAACATTGTTTTGAAGCCTACAGAGAAAGAGAGAATCGGAATTTTAGGACTAAGGTACAGCCAGAACCACTAATCGCATCAGAGACTGATCTAACACAGGTCTTGCAAGAAGCTAGTCATCAAAGTGAACAGCTGTTCAATAGCACACAGACACAGGAATTCTGCCCCAGTTCATTCAATTGCAAGACTCTATTTTACACCCAAGAATACACAGACTTACAGCTTCCAGACTTAGAGAAAACATTTGGGTATCAGAGATGTTATTATTCACCTAGTATCCAACCCTTCATAGATTTAAGTTCCTTGCTAACTTACTGAGTTCAAAAAGTTCCACAATAATACTGCATAGTATAGTTACACCTTGATCTAAAGTTTGCCAACTTACTAATTTTGTTTAATTTTCTCCTTATCATTTTAAGACAAAACTGTGTGTATGTAATAATTTCTGCATATCATTGTCACACTGCATTATTTGTTCTGATTCATCCCACTTCGGAGAAGTTTTTCCTTATCTTGTATCTCTGTATAGTTATCTTCTCCTCCTGTACTTCATTACTATCGCTTCACTACTATGAAAACATTTCACTGTCCTAGTGGAATATAAACTAAGATTGTTCAATACAAAAAACAGCATTGTGTGACAGAAAAATATTCTGATACTCATTTGTTCTTCCCCAACTATGTTACCCACTTCCTTTTCCTGGGTACTGCATATATGCTGTTAAATATATTCTTATTGTACCCTGTCACCTCTAGGCCATGATGCCACAAAAAAAAAATCATATAGCTCAATAAAAAGCATACTAACTCAGGAATTAATCTTTCTGATGTGTCAGAGCTGTCTATACACATGATCTGAAGTAGTCTCATCCCTCAAGTCTCACATTACCCCTTGACAGTGCATGCTTTTGTGACACATATACCTTAAAAACCAAAAAGATGGTACTTAAAAGCCATTTAACCTTTTACTTTGCCAGAATGAAGAGACGTGCTTCACCAAAACATGCAACTGCAAACAAGGATTCAACTCTTCCCAGCTCTCAACTGTCCCTCTTGCCCTGCAAGAGCATTTCATCTCACAGCTGCTTTATTATTACCATTTGTTATCCCTTCTTCTCTGTCCATGGTCTTTCAACCCATGATTTCAGCTCCTCTCCAGACTACTACCTTTCACCCCAGAATGAATTTTCCAGAATACTACAGTTAGCGGGTGAAAAATTAACAGCAAGAGAAAAAAACTGTTTGCCGACCAAGGCGGGGGGGAGGGGGACAGAGCTAAGCCCCAGCAGGCAAATCCTCTTTGTGCTTCATCTGTAGCTTGCACAGGCACCTACTACATTAGCCAATTCAGCTAAAACAAACAATACCCAAGACTAAATACTTACACCATCAAATTCTATTAAAAACTCTGTTTTCAGACGCCTACTAGCATCGTGTTCACCTTCTCGTCTTTCACACAAAAGGCTATCAACTTCATCTAAAAAACAAAGAAATACATCTTAATTAAGCATACAACATCAAAGTCTTCAGATTTGCCTAAGTTCTTTTGCTAATATAGGGCTCCAGTAAGAGAGATCAGATCTTTATTTCTTAGGAGACAGACAGATCTTAGAAAAGCTTAAAAGCTTGTATAATCTTTTATCCTTTGAATATGTAACGCCAAGCACAGATGAGAGAAAAATAAAGTCCTGCTGATAATAAACTGCAAGTCAGGACAAGCAAAACTCATTTCCATGCTTGAAGTTTAAGACATGAATGGATTTACTCTGTAAAGGTAGTACAGCATTTGTGTTTTTTGAGGGAATTTCTTCCCACTATTAATCAATTAAATAACATAACAGTAATCTAACATGCTCTCTATGGAACTACTGATTGGCCAGCTGGTCATATCTGAGACACTTGCTCTGCACTGCAGAATTACTTGAGAGAGTTTATCCTATGATTCCTATTTAAGAAAATACACAAAAGTCAACAACATTTAAGTCTTACCAATAAAAATTATAGAAGGCTGAAGTTCTCTGGCTACTGCAAATAGAGCACGCACCAGTTTCTCCCCTTCACCCACCTAAAACAACAATAAACTGTTTTTGGAAGGGGTTTAGAAAGTGTTTATTACAATAGAGCTAACCTAAGGACCTACAGAAAATCTTGCTGATACCCAGCCACACTCAGTCCATTCATACGACCTCATATTATCACTAGTTCAGTGTTACGTATGACAGCATTGTCTATGTCTTAAAAGAAACATTATTACAACTTCACTTATGAGCACAATTGAGTTGTCAAGAGATTTTGGTGCCTAAATTATCAGAGTAAAAGGGAGCTGGGACTCACTTCATTTACTTTTTAAAGGAGAAAAAACCCACGAGCACTCATCTATATGACAGCCAGGGTCATCCTGAACTGCGGAAGCCTTTGACACTGAGTTATCACAAGCAGAAAATAACACTTTTTACTTCACAAGTCACTTTTTAAAAACTTTATGTTCACTATAGGCTAACAGTTCGCCAAAGACTCATCAGAAGTCTCTGGGCTTCTTAAGCCCTAATTACAGCATATGTGTTTTCAGATCAATATAATTTCCAGCTGCTACTTACGTATTTTGAAGTTAGGCTCGCTGCACTTATATTAAAGAAAGTAGCATTTGATTCTGCAGCAACTGCTTTGGCCTAGGAGAGGGGAAAAAAAAGTACTTTTAAAAACATCCCATTTAAGATACCTCTCTGCTTCTGTAGCTAGTCCTGATTGATGATTTTGAACACCCCTATTCCTTCAAAGGGAACACCCTGTAGATGCTATAGAAACTTCTGTACAGGCTACTTAAAAGTAAGAACAGAAAGGCTGTCGAACCACTAGAGAAATTTCCAGTCTCCCTTCGACTTCTCTAATCACATAATCTCCACAGCCAACTACAACTTGGTTACTGAAGAACACAAGTTTTCAGCTCCTTTCAATGTATCTCGAGGAGCCATTTGAAACAGTTTTAACTAATTTAGGGTGGTAATTTAGGGCAGCAGTTCGATCAAAGCACAAAATAAGGGGTTTTTTTCCTCCTTATTCTACCTATACAAAAACTGTTTTCAGAGGAAAGCTAGGAAAAAGAATCAGTCCAGCCAGAATGCTCATGCAGAGTACTCTCTTTTTCAGCAGTTTCACTGTATTCAATAAATTATGATTCCCTGGTTACACAGTTTAATTTTAGTGATTAGCAATCACGTTCCAGTACATAGAACACAACAGATGAGCCCAAGGGAGCTGCTCAACAGTCACATTCCTGCACTTCAGAGCTGATCCAGCTTCAGTTTCAGCAAAGGGAGTCTGCAGCTGCAGCGTGCCATGTGATGCAGGACGATGTGCCTGGCTCAGCTGCATCAGGACATGCAATGCTCCCTGGCTGATGTGGAGCCATTTCCCTCCAGTTCCACAAATCTAGCACATCAGGCTGAGAAAGCACACAGCAGACAGACAGCTCCACAGTACCTACACTCTTTGCATAAGCATGGAAGTGAGAAAACCCACTTTCTTGCTACTGTGCTCCTTCCCCATTTCCAAAATGCACTTCTAGTATGTTTTAGTGGAGAGCAGACCATCTGTGACTAACCACTGCCTACACAAACAACTAATCATGTTACTTTTACTCTCTCTGAAAATGAAACTTGGACTTGCTGTTTTAAGTTTTAAAATATTACTCATGATACTGAAAATAATTAAATAGAGAACAGTTCAGCAATTCCCTTTCCCATAAAATCCACAGTTAAGAACAATTTTGCATTTTGTATTAAATTGACACCATAACACACATCCAAGAAGAAGACACAATTTATTACTACAACACCCAGACTGAAACCCAGCCCTCATGGCTACATTTTAAACCCACCAACTCATGCATGAAGTAATTTTCTCACCAACATTGTCTTCCCATTTCCTGGTGGGCCAAACAGCAATAAACCACGTGCAGGTGCTCTAAGTCCTGTAAATAACTGAAAAGGACATAATCATAAGTTACCTTCAAAGACTTAAGAAAATGTTGGTTTACCTTTGTAAGCAAATGGTTTAAAATTGAGGGATGGCTGGCTGGCCAGCAGTGGTAGCAACAGTAGCAGTCTACGACAGTACAGGTTTTTAGAGGACTACGCTGTATTACTAACTTGACCTAATGCACGTCACTATTGTTTCCCACACAACAGTTATGTCATGATCATTCTGTGCACAGAAGCACTATGAAAGGAGTACAAAAGGCCATAACACATTCCACAAGATAGACCAACCTAACAAGTTTAAAGCACCAACTGCATTTAAGGGGGGAATGCAGGTGTGTAGTAACAGAGTAAAAGCAATGTTCCTACTAACTCCATATGGAAGAAGCCCTTCATCTCCTTTTTTTTTATTAAATGAAACTTGAGAACACAGGCTTTGACTGAAACTATTACTTAACAACCACCTACTTTCTCTAAATTCTACTGATAATAATCTCCTCCCTCTCACTTTGCATTGGATTAATCTTTCCTACACTATAAAATTGCACCCATCACAGGTAGCATCACAGCAAGCAAATCTACAATCTATCTGTAAGTTACTCCTGTAGCCTGTTTTCCCCAGCGCTTTGTCTTTACCACTTTTCTCAAGAGTTTTGGAGTTCCTTTTTTGGCCTCACACTTACCCCTCCATTCCAGCTTAAAATAATTCTAATAAACAACCGAAAGGAATAGTAGGGAGTCTCTTACTATACACACCATGTCTAAACACCATTGTCAGTGGGCATTCCTTTCCACAATATCCATAAGACCAAATGGCTCCATTACCAGTGTAGTGTTTTCTAAGATGACCGACCAACATGTATTTTCTCTATTATTTAATTGTTCACAGCATTTGTTGGTGCCTGACTTTGCTTGATCACTAAAAATAGTTATCCAGCATGACCCCATTCTCTCATACATACCACCTACACTACAAATGTATTGCAGCATTTTAACTTGGATAACTACATTCCTCAACTGTTTCTGCTTCTCACGCTGCACACCACTGTGCGTACCTCCTGCCTGACTCCATTTGTTCAGAAGCATTCTGTGGGAACTCCCTCATTTTAAAGATAGTCCAGAACAACTCTACAATCCTCCCTCACCTTCATCATTACCTGCACAGTTCAGCTGCAACTGCCATTTATCACTGGGACACACTAAGCTTTAAAAGTTTTTACTAACAGACTAAATACTAAACATGGTCTGAACTAATTGCTACTGGTTTATTAGCATCTTACTGCTGAAATGGTTGCAGTCATGTCTCTAGCCAATGTTTGCTGTTTATTCACCTCAACTCATGCTCTCCTACAAAATTATCATTGGTAGGCCTGTTTAAATATGCATTTGAGTTCAAAACTCCATTAAGGTTAAAACTGAAGTAATACTTAACTGACTAAATATTCCCCTAGTTGCCACATCTACCATATTCATTTACAAGGAATAAAACCAACTTCTTTTCTTCCAAAGAATGTTTAAAAATTCTCAGGATTCTCTGTCCATTTTAGATCCCTACCTACACTAAAGTCAGGCCCGTTGCTAGCTACAGTAACACGAAGGCCTTCCTGAAAATGCCAACTGTTACTGCAAAAGAGTCATAACTATTCCAAGCCTCACATCTCCAAGTCCTTCCCACTCGAAGGAGTGTTGTTGTTACTGAACAACACACTTGACATACTAAAGCACCGTAATAACAGAGACGGCACAATGACATTTTCCTTCTGCGTAACAACACCAGAGCATGCATATTTGATGCAAAAGCTTTGTTTTCCTCAGCGCTAGTATTCCTACAACGCTATGCCAGGTTTAGGGGTTCTTCCTCTTGATGCTTCAAAAGCAGAAACTGCATTTAAGGAAAAGAGGAAGACCACAGAACAACTCCAGTCACCCATCAACGTGACAAGAGATCCACAAGCAAACTGAGAACAGCCAAGTTGCTTGAATAATCAGCAGTGCAGTAAATCATTGCATGCAATTTCTGCAAGAGTTCAGCAACTTCTGGCAAGTCCAGCTTTAGAAAATGACCAATTTAATTTTTTTAAAAAGTGACTCTGATAATTCCAGCTGTATACAGACCAGGCTTTAATCTAGACAGTCAGAGTAGCTGAGGTACCACCTATGATAAACCAAAGCCTAAATGACCAATTTCCATTCAGCCAAGTAAAGAGGAAATCGGCCCTCAAATGTTATACACCTCAGTGTACTTGCTTGTTCACTGCTACGCTTTGCATCCCCTCGTGCTGTGAATAGACTATTCAGAATGTCTAACCAACATCCACACAGAGAACATGACCAAAATACCAATTTCATATTTTTCAAATCAGATAGTGTCATGACTTAATTTACCTATAAAAATCTCACCTGTTTCACTCTTCCAGTTATGGGCTTTATCATTTACATGTCCATATCAGGTTGAACACGTGGCTATATGGAACAGTCAGCCTCACAGATTGTCAGGAATTTTTTTTGTTTGTTTTTTAAGGGTTTGTGGTTTTCTGGTGTTTTTTTGTTTTGTTTTTGCCTTTTTTTTTTAAGCTATTGCCTCAATTAATTTCTCCAACACTGACTAACCCAAAGATGAGGAATTCCATAGTAGTATTTTAACACATAAATTCTTCATTCTCCTTTTCCAAGACTGCTACCACTACACAGCTGTCGATGGCCATCTTAACCGGTAAAGACAGGACTCAAGAATCACCACTTCATGTGTGAAGCACAATACATTTCTTCAATTCTGTGACAGTGGTAACAACACCCAGTTGCTTACCTCAGGTCTAAGAGAAGGAAGGATAACAATTTCTTGCAAAGCTTGTTTAGCCAGTTCCTGCCCTGCGATATCATCAAATTTGACAGCTGGCCCACTAACAAAGAAATGGAATACTAATTAGTCTAACAATGGGATACTCTTTTTCAGCTGCAGCTGACTAATTTAATGCATTTGACTATTTGTACAGAACCCTTTTGAGGAAATCTACAACTTATAGTGTTGAGCATTTAAAAAGATAAGCATTTGTGATTTGAATTTTCATCCTTCTGCTAAAGTAACAACAATGAAAAAAAAACCCAAAAGAACCCCCAAAAAACCCACAACAAACAAACAGTACTAATTTTCATTCCAAGTGGACCAAGACTGTACTGAAAAAATGGTTTGTGCATTAAGAAGCCTACTTTTCTTCAGACTTACCTATCAACAATTTCATTCAGGATAAGATTAGCAAGATTACTGTCCACATTTCTAAATATCTTCAAGTCTTTCTTTTTTCGAGGAGCAGGGGTAGGAGTAGAAGGCTTATTTGTTCTGCTGTTTTTAGGAGCAGCCTGGGGAGGGAGGGTAGGAAAAAAAACAAACAAAAACCAACACATTTTTAAAGCATCCTGTTAACAAAGTTACTTTTACAGCAGCTATAATGCTTAACCACATTTATGTTCTGTCCATTCTGCTCTTTATTCTGCTTTACTGAGGGAGTAACAGGGGGGGAGATAAGTAAAGAGATGGGTCAAAAGAAATGCAACATTTTTGTCTCCTATTAGTACAGGACTTACTTTTGTATTTCAGTCACAATCTAACCATAATTTGCTTTTCAATGTGGTTGCAATACAACCTGTGCATACAAGCTTTGCAAGAGAAGGAACGTGTGTGAGGGGGAAAATCTGCAGATTGGGAGAAAGAGGGGTTTTTTCCCCTCCATCTTTTAAATACTGAGAATAACGTTAATTTTTCTCCTAGATAAGCTTCCCTCAGTTTCCCATAAAATTTTCAAAACAAGTATTATCATTTATTACTGTGATCACAATAAGAATCCATTTGCCTATGCAGCCACCCAATGCCCCTTGATTTCTAAGATCCACTCTGAAGCCTAGCTGAAGAGGCTTGGCCAAAAATCTAGGGGTTTAGTTTTGAGGGTTTTTTTCCCCAAAAAACTTTCTGCTACTATAATACTGCAACAAAGGCAGCAAATATAAAGTTTGTTCTGGAATTTACATTGACTTTCCAAGTGTCTACTGCTATATTTATCCTTACCATACCTTATGGGTTGAAGCTGCAGGATTAGGTGCTGGTCTAGACACAGAAGTTGATATCCCACTGTAGCTAGGTGTTCTATGGTGACCTGAAAGGCCTGTGGATCCAGTTTTTGCAACAGTTTTTGAACGTGGAAGGGAATTACTCGTGTGTGTTAAGGGATCCTTCTTTTTTGGAACCGCTCCACTTTCTATAAAGAAAACCAATGTCGTGAGAATATTTTCAGCAGTCGTACTTTTAACATAAATTCTAACTTGAACATACTATTGCTGACACACATTATACAGTATTATAGTAGCATAATACAAGTTTTTAAAGAGGTTTAGAACTTTTAAGGGGATATTAACTGTAGCTTTCTCCTAAATTCAAGTTCTGAATTTTTAGGAGCTCTCAAAACCAACACTGGTTAGCTACCTTGGAAAAGCTGGAGACTGTTCAATCCTGCAACAAGGGGAGAACACCATCTATTTCTTAAGACAGAAGAACACAGAACACCAGCCAGAAGATTTTCTTTCCCAAGAACTCCTAAAAATAATCATTATTATAATCTCCAAGTTTCAAGCCATTAGATTCAGAGCATTAATTCCTTAAACAAAGTTAGCAGGCTAGTTACTTTGGATACTAGCCAACACTATCTAGCACTTCCCATACAGAAGCTTCACCAAGGCACTTGAATTTAGGCAAATTAAAATAGTTATATCTGAAAGAACTACCAGGAGATTTTTCTTAAAACCTTGTTTTGCTTCAGGAATCTCACAGTGTAAGTAAATTCTTAATGAAGAGCTTTGAAGCAGCTTACTTTCTTACATTTCAAATTAAGTTTTAAAATATTATATTATACCACTGAATTCAAACACCACCCACACATTCTGTTCACTTACTCTAATTCATCTCCATGATGGAGCAGGAAAGTCTCAAATTAAGTGACAGACAAAACTTATCATATTGGCCACATGTGATTAAACTACTAAAGGTCATTTTGGTCCAAACTAAGTGAAACAGTAATTGACTTCTACATTCTCTGTATGGGATACACGAGAAAATAAGGTTCCTTGGCACAGAAATGGCAAGTGTAAAACATCAAATCAGAGACTAAGAGGCAGGAATGTGCTACAGTGAGCACACCAGTTGGTCAGGCTGGTTAATGATTAGACCACAGCATCAAAACAGGGAAATTTTGTGTTGAGAATACAGTACTGAAAGCTGTCTTCTGGTACAGTACTGTTGTCTGTGCTAGAAACTGTAAATACTGCCTTATTTTATATCATTTTAAAAGGATTAAGGAGCCTTTTGATAAGAGAAATATGGTGTCAGAGGTAAGGAAGCTCAAGATGGATTTCATCTCTAAGTTTCTTCACTAAGATTTTAGAAATCTGCAACTCAGTTTGACTTGTTAGTCTTAAGCAATGGGCCAAAGAACTCTGATTTTTAAGGAAGTTAACAACTCTACGAAGAATTTTTAATTTATAATATTGCAGTTCTACTTAAAAATATTAAGTAGAAAGCCTCATAATTCTGAATGTTGTGTTTAAAAAAATCAAATAGGAATATTTCAGTGAAACAGTATCATGGAAGGATCAATTAATTACTATCATGTTCTCAGCCTCTTTAAACATAGGGTCTTGCATACTACTAGAAGCAAATCTTCACACAGCCTGCAACCATCCATGTGTTGAACTACTTGGCTAACAAGCTTCTAAAGCCTTTCTTCAGTCACAAATCTACCCCTTTTAAGAGTTATAGAAACTCTGCAGGGGTCATCACAAACACTGCAGGTGTATCAATATGCAAAAAAAAATGGAACTTGAAAAATATTATTAACCACATTGACCTGTAAGATATTTATTGTTAGCAACAAAAAAAACAATCAAACAAACCAACCCCCAACAACAACAACAATGGAAAAAACCCCACCAAAAAACTAACGAAAAAAAAACGAAACTGGCTACTGACTAAGTCACACACACATGCAGAGCTGGTTAAATTTAGTCATTTCTGCACAGGAATTTCCAACTCAAAAACTCTTCAACATTAGGCATACTTAGTAATTTTCAAGTTCAAAAAGCAGTATATGAATCCTAAAAAGCCGTTTGGTTGGGTTTTTTTGTTTGGTTGGTTGTTTTTTTTTCCTTCATCCTCATTTGCACAGCTGACTTAAAGTCAACATGGGAAGGCTTCAAAAAGCTAAACTAGTTTTACTCCATCTCCTTCCCCCGAACACGTTGCTCAATTATCACACTTTCCCAGAACTAACCCCTTCGCTATTGAGAACAATACACACAGGTTGCAATTTTGAGTATCATAAAATTGCATAGGTAAGGAGAATTTCAGGAAGCTGGAAATACAGGAGGAGGAAGGGAAAAGAGAAAGGTTTAAATACAAATTACAATTTTCTGTAGCTGTACCTCCAGGAATCAAGACCACTAAGTTTACGTATGTTCTGTGGTCAGTCCTGATGGGTGGCACAGAAAGAAGCACTGATGATCTACTCTTGAACATAGCTGCCCAGTGTCAACTCCAGAGGGAAACTTGATTGTATATACAAATTTTCATTGAGGAAACAAATAAAAATGTGATCAAACTCTTCAGAATTACAGCTTCTCTAAGGTCTGTCTATTACTAAAGGGTGAAGTGCTGAAGAGCACATGTATGTCTCTTGTCATAATAGCCTCTATTATTTTATTATGTAAAATATATATTTTGCTGTAACAAATGCAAAACCTCCAAAACACATTTCTTATCCATTTGTATTTTTCATCTGCTGAAAGACTGAAAATATGGGCCAAGTGGTCTTAAAACCTTTGTAGTATCTCCAGCAGCCTCAAATATTTCACTGTTCCATAAAAAGCAGAAGTGCCTAAAATATGTTCTAATCACAAAGACAGACCATGGCATTTTTTCAATTCTATCCGAAACACTGAATAATTTAATTGCCAACTTCATAACATACTTACAGGATAGTAATAGGGGCTTGATCATTTTGATTTTACTCTCCAAATCTTGACTGGACAGAATAATTTACTTCAAAGCTCCAACCTAACACCACTAGATCATACAGAAATAATGAGACTCTGGTCCTGAAAGCACCTCTGCAATTTTAATCCATCATCCAAATATATACACAACAAACAAATTACAAAAAAGCAAGGAGTAAAATTTTGTCTGAGGTTTTCTATTGGTTAAATTGTGATAAGCTGCGGACACAGGGGAACAATTTCAGACTCCCTTACAGAAACAAATGTTAAAAAGCATTTAACTGTTTTTAAAGGTAAAGTGAAGTAAGGACATGTTTGAACAACTTTAAGAGAAGCTTGATTATACTACACACCTGGAAACACAGTAACAATCTTGGAAACATGCAGCTCTAGCTTATTTATTTAATAAAGATAACAACATGCTTTGTATTTCTAAAAATTAGACCAATTATATTTTCTTTTGTGCATGTAAAACAGATAAAGGCTTATCTTAATAAACAAGTTTCTGCTGTTTTATAACTTCTTAAGCATCCAAAAAAACAGTTTAAATTAAAATTAGCAGCAGCAGTTCCAGTATTGCAGAACAGTTTCTAGCCTTTAGTAATGAAAACAAAAATAATCAGAAAATATTCCTTATAAATATGCCTATTGATAACTGATATAAACTGACTAAGAGAAGTTATTATATGTGGTCTGTGGACCACAAATTCAAAAAATAAAAAGTCACCAGTTTAGAACTGTCTGTAACTTTATGTATGTAGTTCTATTTAAAAAAAAAATCTTTAAACTGCTTAGCTATACATTTTCTGCAAATACTATATAGCAAAATACATGCAGCAATTGCAAGATGGATAGTTATTCAGGATCAGCATTCACAATAGCCCCCAAAATAGTAATTCCTTCAAAGATTATATTCAGGTTTTTCAAATAGGTACATTTAAGTAATAAAGAGCTACCTAGCAGGAAACTTCAGCAACTAACAAGGACCTGTTCCATGCTTTGGATGGTAGCACAGCTACACAGATCAGGGACACAGTCGCTGTTCTGAACTGATAAAGCCACATCAGTCAAAGATCCACTGTTGCCAAATTACAGTGTTAAAAATGATATTATTGCTACTTGTTTTTCTACTTGGGAAACCTCGTGAAAAACTTCAGTATTAAGAGTAGAATTTTTGCAAATTGAAAAACATTGCCAATATATGCCTCCTATTAAAGACATGCTAGCAAATCCAAGTGAAAAATTAGATAAAACACTAGCTACTTGCACAGTGCTGATGTCATGGTAAGAAAGAGAACTTTAATTCTTTTTCTGATCGTGTATCATGCCAAGATTTACACGTTCATGTAAAATGGCACACTGGAATTACTGCAATACTACCAGTACTGTATGCGCAGTAAATAAATTCCTAAAACTCAAACACTGCATTTGGCAAGACTGGCATAATCTCCTTCCAAAGCTAGTTTAAAACCAAAAAATAACCCACAAGGCAAAGGAAAATATGCACATCTGAGAAAAAAAAAAAAGACAGAGCTAAATTGTTTTGCATCTAATTTAAGACTGCTATGAGAACAAGAGTGATGGATATTAAACAACAAATGTATTTCAAAATAAAGTTTTAGGTTAAGACTACTTGTTATTACTCTGAAGACAAGCTACTGCGCAGCCTTTTGCAACTGGAGGGCAGATGATACTGCTGTAATGAGGTCTTAGAAAAACCTTATTATAAATCTATCAAATAAATTTTCAAGAAAAATCTCTAGCTAGTGAGGTAAGTTAGGAAACTATGAATGAGGAAGACAGGGATAGGTAGAATCAAGAACCAAGTAAATAGGTCTGAAAGGCTGACACATAGCATCTTGAAAGAAGGAAGATTCTCACATTTTGGAAACAGAAGAAATGTGCAGTGTAGCTGTGAGAACAGAATATCCGACAGAATTAAGAAGCAAAAACACCTTTAAAAACTTCAGCCTTTAAAGGAAAACGAAAGAAAGCGAAGCACATTCTGAGCAAAGAACAGAAAAAATGCACTTTCTTGATGTTAAAACTATGAATGACCATGCTTCACACTTCATAAAATCCTAAACTTTTTTATAAGTCCAGCCTGATTAGGCAACAGCACAGGTAATACTTTATGTAGACAGGAAAACAAAGCTTATGTCAGAGCCCTGTGCAGAGTAACTCCACTTTCTCAGTAACAGCAGTCCTCTTATCTCAACTACCCTGCAAGCTGACTTTGTACAGTTTTCTAGGAATTTGTCATCTACTTTGTGTTTTTATATGATTGCAGCCACCCATGTGAAAATACCATCTTTATTACAACATGTATAAAGGAAATACTTTTAAGAAAAAAGTGTAGCACCAACACCTTACAAACAAGACTCCCTCCTCCCACACCCCAAAAAAAGAGACAGAGAGAGCATGAGAGAGCGAGCCTGCAAGCGCAGGCACCAGCCAGTTAAGAAATTCAGACAACTGTTAACAGGCTGACTTTCCTGGTACTACCAGGGACCCCAGCCCACAGCTGCCGGAGAAGTTCAGTACTTTGGGGGAAACCTCTACATTCCACACGTTAGGAATCTAAAGTTTACCTTTGGCAATGTAAATGGAACTGGAACAAGCTTCTTGAAGTCTTGTTCAAAGTACTCAATAGATGCCTGGTACCTAACTCTTTTTCTATGACCTGCTCTTTAGTCCTGTCTCTTCTCAGATGCTACTGAGCCTGGTAAATGAAAGTTTCTCCATTAGCCTGCATTCCTTTTCAGAAAGTCAGAAGACGCTTTTTCAGGAAAAAGCATCTCCAGAAGATCATGGCCCTTTGCAGTTGTTTCACTATGCTTTCCTCCACAGTTCTGCAGAAGTGTTTCAGTCATTCATCTTCTGTAAGTCACCAGGAATATGATTCCAAATGGGCAAACTGACTAATACCAATTTCCAGGAGTTTACCAACATTGACCCCTTCCTGCTACAGGAATTTCTGTAAATAAAAACACATGCCACCAAACTCAAAAAACATTTCTTCATTCCCAGTCAATGCCAATGGGTATTCTAGGCTTTGTTGCAAACAGATTTAAATATTAAATTAGCAGTTTTAAGAATGAAAGTTCAGTCTAACCTCTCCTGAAGTATCTAATTCTGAAATACATTGAGAAAAAGATACAAAAACATATAAAGGAAAGAGTTTAAAGAAAAAGCTGTTCATATTAAATCAGATGGAGCATGTTGTCAGCTTCTGTGTGTATGTACGTACTTGTTCATTCAATCTCTGGCCAACCAGGTAAAAAGCTTTAGTTGTACTACATCATTTAAAGTGAAAGCTCACTCTACATAGGAATTTATAATTGAAGAGACATTTTAACTACATATTTTTGACAAATGCAGTTAACAAAAATACCACATACACAGTAATCCAAAGGTGCCTAACATGGCATAGTTCCACTACTGTAATTTCTCATACATTAGAAAGAATAAAACCAAACAGTAAGATGACTTCATAACTAGAAATGGAGCTAAAAAAGAAAAAGAAAAGTATGTGGATTATACTTTCCAGTTTCTTTACTTTAAAAACTGAATACTGCTCTTGACTCAGCAGACAAGCTTTATGAATGCCATTGCTTGTTAGCTCTCTGTTTTATTTAACCTCACTACAGTGTACTGTACGAATTATCAGTTGAAATCACAGGTGTGACAATAGCTTACTGCTGTCTTAAAACATTCCCTGAAGACAATTCAAAAACCTCAAAGCAACTTTACTCCTTGTGTATAGACAAACAAGTTTACTTCTGGTATTTTAGTATCTCTGGTGCAGTCTTTTGGGAAAGAATAAAAACAACCTTATTTGACAAAAAGCAAGAACTGTTCTCCCCTGCTTTGTTTTAATTGTACATCACTTTCCTGGTGTAAAAAACCCTGAAATGTAAAGCAGCTTAATGCAAATGCACATTCACCCTGACAATATCATAAAGGAAGAACTACTTATATAAGCAAAATATATAACCTACATATTCTACATTGACTTTGACTTTCTAAAACAGACTTAATTCCTTTAAGAATAAAATACAAGAAATATTTTCTAAAATGTTGTCTTAGTAAATAGCTTTGGATTCCAGAACAGTCATTGTAAGAGAGAAACGAATGCTACAAAATAAAAGTGCTGTCAAGTCATAGAAAGGATGGAATGTATTTTATATAAAGTCTTTAAAAACAGAAATATAAAACAATTTTTTTTAAAGTTGGTGGGGCCAGAACACGCATTGCATATTTTTCCCTGTAATACACCAGTAACTGAGAGACATCCCATCAATAGGCGCTGGTAAAACCAAACCCACCTGACTGGAGATGTCCATTGCGGCATGCCAGGTTAGTACTGTCATTATAGACCTCCATTTGCGGCTTGGAAATTTGCAAAACTGCCTGCAGCTTCTCTACATAGTAGACAGAGGGGGAGGAAGGAAAAAGGACAAAATAAACAAACAAAAAATAAAAATGAACCAAGAAAATTTATGTATGTTGAACACACAAATGTCAAGTTTGGTTTTGTTATACTTGATACAGGGTTAAAGATAAAAGGAGTACTTCTAGCTATTCTACATGTTTAGTAAATTTGTAAGGAAATTCTGTCAGTATGAACACGACTGAAAACAGCTTTAAAACTAGCCACTTACAACCAAGTTAATTACAATCACTAGACTGGAAAGATTCTTGTCGTTACTTCCCAAAAGCAATGGTCAGGATTAGTTCAACTTCATTTACAAAACATTTGTGCTGATAACCCATTTCGGAAATTTCCTCTGCAAGGTGTTACTTTTGACAAACTGCAAGGAGTCGTTGCTTTCCTGCATACTAAATGTTTCACTCAAGTAGTAACAGCCAGTCAGCATTTTAGAAAAACCTCAACTGTTCAAGCAAAACACCATATACATGTTATGATTATGTCTTTTAAGATCTCTAAATTAGAACTATAATTGCCTTGAAATCAAATCAATAAAACTGTCATGTAACCTGTGTTCGTTAAGAGGATTAACTTCAGGAACATTTGAATACAAGATTTATAAGGTTAAAGATTAAGGAGAATGAAACTAACTCTAAGAAGTCAAGATAAACTAGCCAAAGCATTAAGTCAAAGAGATGTAAGGCTGCAAACAATAGAAAACAAGAATTAAGTCTCAGGACTATTAGTTCTCTGCAGTTCACCTACCACTCCTGCTTTTGCCACTGCAGTTAAAAACCTCTAGGCCTTATTTTTGGGGCACTTTACAACCTCTCCCACCTTTATTTCACGCACATCCCCCTTTTTTGTACAAACAAAACACAGTTTGTAAGGATGCAAGGCATACACTATCACACCCCCTGCCTGCCCCCTGCCCTGCCTCCTTTTTTTTCCCCTCCTCTCTCCCGAGAGGTGCAGGAAAACAGATGGCCAAATAGAGGAGCAATGTCCTCTGGCAACATGAAAGCACATACTGCAAAAGAAGCCAAATTCCACTGGAAATGTGCACAGCCAAGATCATAAATGCCCTGACTGGAGGAAGAATTGCCCTTCAGAGCTCGCAGATTGTACAACCAACAAACATCAACACTTCCTTGCTTCCGCTCCTTTGTCTATTACAGATCTTTTTCCAGTCTTTCTGCTTCATTCCTTTCTTCTTCTGTCTGCTCCAGACCACTCCCTGCTTACCCTCCCTGAAAAGTATCTTAAGACCCAGTAGTTTAAGTGACAGTTTAATAATAATATCCAGACAGAACAAGATGCAGTTTAGAGTGGAAATTTAGTAGCCACAGGCAAATAAGAAAAGCTAAAGTTAATGATTCACACGTGCACCCAGGGTTTATTTTGTTTTAAATTGAAAGCATTGACGAGTCGGCTACAGCAAAACAAAAAAACCCCATTAGTCACACAAGAACAGCCTACAAACAACAGCAGAGTTTGTAACTTGCAAGGAGTTACCCTGAGAAACCTCCCTCTAAAGAGGTCTCAGGAAAGCCCTTTAGTATGACTGACCCCAAACACAGTGTCCTGTTTGAGTGGGTGCAGCACTGCTGAGGGAGGGAGCAGCACAGCCCCTGCCCCGCCCAGGGCAAGCAGCCTGAATGGGAAGCACATAGGGAAGCTTAGGAAACAAAATTAGTATTAACAGACTCGGTAAGATACTAGATAATCAGTGAAGTTTTGGAGAACGTTTCTGAACTTTACAAAAGAAATTTCTAGTGAGTTACCACAATAAACCCAAGTAGCTCGGGCCACATTTCCATTCAGGAAATGCCATTGGCTTCAACACTTCAGTTTGAGATTGGGGTTTTACCACAATTACCAATGGCTTAGCAATTCCACATATTTGGGAACTCCAGAACTGCAACAAAAAATGTAATCCAACTGTTGTCCAGTTTCACTTCACACACTGTCTTCGCATCATATTACATATTAAAATGTAATTTTAATATTGCACATAAATTTACATAAAGCCAGTATCTCAACTTTGCTTGAGAGACAATGTAGCTACAGAGCCCTCTGGAATAATTAAAATAAATGGAGATATTAAATATTATTCCAGGAAATTAACATGACACCCTATCACCTTCCATTTAAATGCTTTCTCCCTATGTCTTCTTACATTGGGGGGAAAAAAAAACAACAAACAAATATGTTTACAGAATCTCATTCATTGTTTTTCCCTGATGATACAACGTTGACATAAACCTACCAAATAAACACCACTGCAGCCACTGTCTTATTTGGGCAACACTAGACCCTGAGTTCAGAGTAACTGACTGCTACTAAAAGAACCCGTTACCCTATAACACAAGCCTGAAGCAAAACCCCCATCACCTCCAAGACAGTGGAAGAATTCCAAAAGGTGTTCATTGAAGCCCATATCTATACATGGGCAGAAATATTACCAAAGAGGATACTGAGGAAAGATATCTGAATTATGTGCCATGTGCATCCTCCAACCAAAGTACTGAAGCTACACATAGCACACAGAACGGCACTTGTGCTGATACATATCTGTCCCCCTACAGAAAGTCTCTCTGAAATTGGAGAACACAGAATGCTACAACATGTGTATAATGTTAGAATTGAAGAGTGTTGCACTGGACATTTTGGGTATCTATCTTGAGGAACAGCAAGCTGCTGAGTTTTATGTATTGATTGTAGAAAACAAATATCCTCCTGTGATTCTAAAGATATCAAATATAATGATTCTAACATGGGAGATCAGCCATCCATGAGAGATCAGGACTATGAAGATCATCAGAGCAAGTTTCATCCACTCATCTAAATAATTGCACAGCTAACACACCCTAAAGCATGTCAAAAACAAGGGCTGCCACCAATGCAAACGGTAGGACTTGGGAGTACCCTGACAGCTAGCGCAACTCAATATTGCCACTGGACTATCTTGTCCTATCACTTTCAAGTAACAAGCGATAGGACAAGAGGAAATGGCCTCAAGTTGCGCCAGGGGAGGTTTAGATTGGATATTAGGAAAAATTTCTTCACCAAAAGGGCTGTCAAGCATTGTAACAGGCTGCCCAGGGAAGGGGTTGAGTCACTGTGCCTGAAGGTATTTAAAAGATGTGTAGATGAGGTACTTAGGGATGTGGTTTAGTGGTAGACTGGTCAGTGTTAGGTTTTCAGTTGAACTTGATGATCTTAAAGGTCTTTTCCAACCTCCCCCCCCCAAAAAAAAATAAAGACTGCCAAAGTGATCTGAAACATACCTGGAATAACTTCAGCTTTCAAGCTGTGTCATAGTACAGCTTTAAACAGAATACAATACAGTAATTTAGACTCAAGATGAAAACAGCTCAAAATAGTAAAGCCGTCCTCCAAGGTAAGCAGCTACATCCTCTTGGTCTAACATTAAAAGGCATCAGTGGTGTGATGACACATGGTGATAACACGTGGGTGGGATCAGACAGCACACTCCCATCAGTGGTGTCATGCAACTTAAACTTACATTGATGTTTAATGTAACGGCACACTTGAAAAATATCAAAGCATTGAACACTTTTAAGGGACAGTTATAAACCATATGATTTAGTTTTCACTTTCTATGTATTACCAATATAACTTGCTTGGCTGGATGGCATTTCAGTTAGGCAGCCTGCAATCACATCTGTCTAGCAAGCAGGATGAAATATTTGATATTAATCTCTACTTCAAGTCTGTTTTATCATGTCAGTTAATGCAATAAAGGATGTGCCTATTCTCCCTTCAGAAATGCAGAAATTCCACAGAGCCAGAGAAAACACTTACTCTTTGACCTTAAAGTTGGATTAATAGGAAAAATCACTTTACTGAGCCTTGAGAGTTTCAAGTGCCCTATGTTTAGTTGAACTACAAAAACATCTCTACACTGCTTAAAAACTTCCAAATATCTGCTACCACAAGTAACAAGCTAAAAGCTGTTTAGACTTGCACATGCAATTCAATTTTAGATTATCTTAAATATCCACAAAATACATGTAAAATAACATATAAAGCAATAAAAACAAACGCTGTCAATACTTGAAGGTTGGTTAGATGGTATAACAAATATTACTCAAATAGATTCATAATGATCAAGCTTGCAGGGATTTAAATCCATAGAACCATCTCTCCAAACAACATCTTTTTCCTTCATAAAGGGGAGATGATTTCACTTGCTCCTTTCTATCCAAGTTTTGCTCTCAGGTACATTAAGACACATCCTTAGTGCAAACTGAACAAGAACCCAAGTAGAACAAAGTACTAAACTTCTGTTAATTTCAAAGTAAAAATGTCATATTTGGCAGCAACTTATGCAATAAATGCTATTTTATCTGTTTACCTTTCAATCTGCACTCTGAATGAAGAATACAAATAGCATGTGATCATCCATTCTGGTAGTAAAGATGAATGTACTAGCCTGACTTAAACTTTAATTTTTTTGCAATGTTTACCCTTTTTATCTTTTCAATCAGAGCAGAGCAAGTAAGCCACTTACCAACATCACAAGTGCTACTACAGTAACACAATCAAGACGAAGGACTATCCACAAAATACAGACATCACTACTTCAAGGTTCAAAGAACAGCAAATTTTTTAAAGAAATCCCAGTTACTTGCAATTAGGATGTCAGCAACAAGCCATACCTTATCAAAGATTGTTAGCATGGTAATGACTTTCACCCTTTTGTCCCTTAGTTCATATTACCTCTAGAAGTCAGCCTTTAACCCTAATGAGTAGAAAATATCTTTTCTGCATATACTAAGATTCTACCAACAAAACACCTCTGATAAAGCACAGAAGCCTCTTTCACTCCATGTTCCCTTCACTTTTTTTCAAAAAGAACTAAGGACACCAGGAACTCAAGGGTAACAAAAGGGATCCACTTCCTTGTGGTTGTCACAACTTCCCTGTCAATGACCAGTCAGGACTACAGCATCACAGAGTGTAAAAGGGGAAAAGAAGATGAGTTTTCCTGTCTGCTCTATATGCTCCTAGGAGAGGGAGTTAGAAGAACTCAAAACAACACAGTGCAAGATTAAAGCTGCAGATACACAAGTTAAACTCAAGTACGTTTGTTAGTTCTCTCTTAAAGAGCAATTTAAAAAAAAAAAAAAAAATTATTTTCATTTTACTGCCTGAACTCAAAGCATTTCCAAAGTTCTCAGTTTAGCAGATGCACTACACAAAGCTGTGTGTTTGCTGCCTGATGGGGGGATCTTTGTCTATCATGCACAGTAAGATGCCATTTCCAATCCTGCCTGTTTTACTCTGTCCATTAAGAGCTTATATGCAACATTTAATTTTGATAAAGATAAAACTATAGAACACTATGCTTCTGAAAACAAGTGATCTCACCTGCTAGTCTTAAAATACAACACTACTAGGTAAAAATTATGAGAATCAGGATTTCACAACCTTGTGGTCTACATAATGCTAAAGAATTATTATCTCAGCACATACCAATAATCAGGAAAATTGTTCCCTAAGTGACAGCAGAATTAACAGAACATGAAGTAGTTAGACTTACAGAAGGCATACTTCGCGCTCATGATCAGCAATATATAATAGGTTTTACTACAGATCTAACACAGAAAACCTAAACTAACTCCAATAAGAGTTAGTCAAGACTTCCTCAGCTTATGAGTCAAGTGTCCTATGGTATAAAGAATTCTGTTACTTTTACACCTATTTATTAAGGCATAGGGAAGAGGGTCATGAGATTCCAATTTCAAAATCCATCAAGAACATTGAAAATAATCTTACTTATTCTCAACTAAAACCCAAACTTGAGACCCTACACAGATAATGACTCCTTCACTTTAAAAATCAAAGTAATATTTTAGAAGAATGCATTACATGAAGTTGTGCAAATAACGACAAACTTTCCAAAGTCATGAATTGTAACTGGTACCTAAAAGCTGCAAGCGATCCTTGGCCATTGCCAAATTTGTCATCATTTTAGATTGCAGACGTCGCGCCCGTTCACACTGATCACCTTGCAAAGAAAAATCAATGTTAAAACACAATTTGGCAAATACTTCTTAAAGTGCTAAAATACTGACACCCAGCTTTCCCTCCTCTTCCTCCCACCCCTTATCTACCCTCTCCACTAAAAACATCATTGTAAAACTAATGAAAAAATCCTAAAGCTTCTTATTTAATCAAGAATTTAAAGTTAGTTGATGCTATATACTTTACAATATTGCTCATAGAGCGGTGGGAACCCAAGCACTGCTTTGCATATTCTCTAACATCTCATGCTGACTTAATATATGCATTTTTCTAAACAGAAAGTCAAATTAAAAAGATTTTTTAAAAGCTTGAAAAGTGACTGAGAGGCAAGTACAATTTGAAATAATTCACTTTGGCAAAATTAACAGATTTAAATTCAGTTGACTGTGTCCCTTTACATTTCAAAATACACAGAATTACAGACATTAGTATCTGCACTTCCTAAAAACAATGTCTGCTCAAGTCAAGCTTTTTTTTTTTCCCCTGTGCAATTTAGACAGGTCGTATCAAATGCCACTGGTATTGCTGCATAAGTAACATGTCACCACATAACTGTTCACAGACATTTCTAAACATACTTAAGGAACAAAACAGCAGTCTGCAAAAGCATTTACAGTTTCAGGGGTTTTGGGGGGTGGGTTATTATTATTATTATATTATTTTGAGGACAGAAATTCTTAGCAAGTCCCTTCATTAGACCTACCTTTCTCTATGGTAGAAGCACACCTGCTTCTACACTATAGCTTAAAAGTTTCTGTATACAAAAATGTCTTTCTTCCTGTGTTGGAAATGTTCAGCTATTTTGACATAAGCTATTCAGAAACATAATGCTAGACCATTCTAAACTGAGGTGTTTCTTTTTTAGTTGTACTGAAGGGAATATAAAATTCTGTGTAAGTGAGAACAAGAACTGTCAACTTTGGTAAATCAAATCAGAACTCTGTATTTTGACATTCCCATTATATAAGAACTCAAGTGTTTTACTCTAGAATTTTCATGAGCTGTTTATGATTTTGGACAGTCTGAAAATATCTGGAGCAAGACTTGCATGTGTTACAGACCAGAACATTAAGGTAGAACAGAGAAACGGACCAGCGTTCACCTGCAGCTAAAAGAGGAATAAGAAACACTCTTATGAATTAATTAATACAGCAGAGCATTCCTAGTACCTACCATATTCAGCAATATTGATTCCTCACTTTGAAGAAGCCATAAACCAAAATCTTTTCCACAAAACTCAAAACTGGCTTACCTTGGCCAATTACTAAGACAGCTATTCCTTTCTCCAGTTCTTCAATTCCTTTCTTATACCATTCAACAGCTTGTTCCTTTTGTCCTGCTTAAAAAGGAAGTGAACCCATTATTTTCCATAATGAATTAAAGCTTAGGAATGGTTCCATGTAACGCTGTGTAAAACAAGTAAGAGGAACTAAGAGATACTTGAACAAAATCCTATGATTTAAAGAAACACTTAAAGGGACACTGTCAACTTTATATCTACTTAGTTTCAAATAAGCTTTTCTATTAAAAACAGGTACTACACCAGCCTCAAATCACTTTTGCCTGTTTTAGGAATACTCCTCCATCCACCTTAAAGAGATCAGTCCCCTAAAAGAACAAAACTAAACAAAACACCAAACCCCACACAAAAATTAAGGTAAAAAAGCCAGCCTACACATACTCATTCACAACAGAAATGGTGAAATTAACAGTTCTTCTTTCTGTAACATCAAATTGAGACATGTCTTTTAATCCTCCAGTGATAGCCAATACCAAAGCACAGAAATTAAAGAAAAATGCAACAAGTCTAAGATACTACACGAGTGAGACAAGAGACACTTTTCCTCTGGTTAACTTTTGTACAGAGCAGCTCATTTGTCATGGGGATATTTCTTTGTTCATCCTACCATGAAACCGCTGTATTGCAGGTGTACCTCAACTTTCACATGAAGTACAATACACGTAGAATTAGAGTACATCTCTGTACCAACAACATCCTCAGTGGATATCACAGCAAATACAACCATGAACACGCCTATGCCTAATCTATACTATCTGAACACTATGACAGCAAATAACCCATTGAAGAGATATTCATATCTACTTCATATTGCCTTCTATATTCATATCTACATTCATATACCTCTTCTATAAATACTCTGCATTAAAAAGAAACTTGTCTCCAAATGGAAACATACTTTTTTCAAGGTAGCTGTGTCACACTAAGCATGCCTTTCCACACAGGAATACAGCACATTAGGTATTACAATTTAAATCTAATTAGCATTAATGAGCTGCTAGTGCTAGAAAAAACAAAAACACATAGAAGGAAACCTTCAGATATCATTACTCTAGTTTCAGAAAAGAGAACTCCTTACACAACTATTCCTAAGTGCCAGTTACCACTGTGTTGCTTTTGCACTCCAATATTTTGACAACTTCAGTCTCAAATTGAACTATTTTCTAGTGAATCTTAGTGCCAGTAAAAACATTTCAATACATTTCTAGAATCCTCTTAAGGGTTTTCTCTTGCTCCTCTCCAGATTCAGAATCTTTTAATAACATTTGGTAAGTTACCCTGTGCAGGTAATTCCATGCTTTGCTCTTCTTACCAACACAAACCACAGGAGCTCACCTTCCTACAGTCAATATATATCATACATCTTGGGAATAATTTTATTACTGCCCTTTCTCCTCCAGTCTCATATATCCTGACTGTTAAGGACAAAGCTAGATAAATTAAATCATCAAAACTGAGTGACTTTGATCCTCTCTGTAGCCTTTTTTTCCTCTAAGCTTCTCCCCATCACCTATAGAAACAGTTTTGACCGCAGTGTAAATCTAACGCTATTAGAAATCATGTTTGAGATTATTCCAGTCACCTCTGCTATTGCCTGAATTGCTTTGCTATTCTGAAGAGCAGTTGCAAACACACCCAGGTCATCATTAAAATCTTACTTCCACCTTTTAACTGGAGATGTTTTAAAAGCAATATACCAAACTGAGCTGTCTGCAAAGGTAGTACTCCGAATCTACACAGAACGGTCTGCTAGTTCTCAGTGATTAAGACATTAAAACTACAATAAAAAGTCACATTCCTTAGAAGTCACTGATTTGCTGTACTGGGTCTGGCTGGGATGGAGTTAACTTCCTTCATATCAGCCCGTATGGTGTGGTGTTTTAGATCTGTGACTAAAACAGTGTTGATAACACACCAATGTTTTGGCTACTGCTGAGCAGCTTGCACAGCCTCAAGGTTTTCTTTTTCCCACTCTAGATCCCCAGAAAGCAGGCTGGTTGGTGGTGCACAAGAAGCTGGGAGTGGACACTGGCAGGATGACTGACCCAAACTGGTCAAAGGGATATTTGATATAATATAATATAAAACTCAGCAATAACAGCTTTGGTAGAGGAAGAACAGGATGGAGGCTGTCTACCAAGGCAGCCATTGCTCAGAAACTGGCTGGGCATTGGTAAGCAACTGCCTTTGCAACACTTGTCTTACCTTCACCTCTTTATTTCGCTAATTAATGCATCTTTATGCTGAACCACAAGTTTTCTCACTTTTGCTCTTCCTATTCTCTCCCCTGTCCCACTGAAGAGAGTAAACAAGCAGCTATGTGGTTGCTTAGCTCCTGGCTGGGGTCAACAGCCCACATGTGCCTTCTCAGTCCCAGGAAAACATGTTCAGCTTGATTTTGAAAATACCAAAACCAATAATATTAACTTCCCCAATAATTCAGAAGCATAAAAATTACCAGAAATGCTGTCGTAATTACTGAAGCACACATAGGTTCCAGAATAGCAAAAATGCCATGCAATTAACAGGATATTAGATAATTCAGAAATCCCAACCATTTCACATACGATGCCTAATAAACTGTTTTCTGTTGGAAGTTATAAAAAACATGTTTACATATCAAATGAATTCAAAGATATGCATGTATTCCAGTAAAAACAGATAAGCAAATAACAAACCTATGAATTAAAGCAAAGTGAGTTCTTCCTCAGTGAGATGAATATTGCATTTGCAGCATTGTAACAGCTTTGAAACTGCTTGTGTCAGCAAAGATTTTTTTCTTACTAAATGTATGACCTATGCAGCTAATTCAGATATGACAACTCTAAAATATCTGTAAAGCAAATCCATTATTAAAATTTCAGTATTTGAAAGCTCACCCTTCAAACTACCAACAGTTATCAGCCACAACAGTGGAACAGGCACCTGATAATTTAAGACTTAGCCACCCTTCACTGAGAAATCGTCAACACCACTGAAGTTTTAAGCTACCTCACCTTCTTTCGTGCTTTGCTCCTATGACCCTCAATGCTCTTACACTCCTCATCTGTTCTGAACTAACCTTGCTGCACATGGCGGGTGTTTTTCTCCCAGAGCTTACCGCTGCCACTCCCAAACTGTCAAGGCAAAGCAAGGGACATCCCTCGCTTTTATGATGCTCTCAGCAGGTAGCTTCTATTGAAGGCCTATTCCTATATTTTTAACCCCCTGCTCTAGGCCAGCAGTTTCATTAAAGCTCAACTGAAAGGGCATAAGAAGGAATCATGTTTCCAGAGATTTTTAAAACCCAGCTCAGCACACCCCCAAGGACTACCTTTTGGGTGCCGACAGAGATGTGCTGCTGCTTTTAGACTACATGACTAAATCAAATGCACTAGCAACTGGTTTTGGAATTTTTTTAATCCTCTAGACAGGAAAAAAAAAATCCCCACTCTTGTGTTTTATTTAATCGAACCCTAAACATCCTCCTCAACATCTTCTAGTCACATAGGGGTTTCTTCGGTGTAAGCAGGTCAAAGAGTTTAAGAAAAACATTTTTTTCAAGCAACCGTCAAAATACGAATAAATATTTCTTTCCTTAAAAGTCAAGACGGCTCCAAATGGGCGGTTTGAGAGCCAAGTTTCCTGAAGAACTCACTTCAACACTTCCATCGTTTGTCAGACAGGACATCAAAGGAGGCACCCTTGGTATTGTCCCCGGCGCTTTTGTTGTCCGGGTGGCCCGGTTAAACCGAAAGCTTGTTGCAGTCACACGCCCCGATTTTTAACCGCCTCACCCACACCTCCGCATCACAACTTTAATTTAAAGTTGTCAAAGCGAAACACAAAGCCTTGCACTGCGTGGGGAAC